CTAAAAAAAAAAAAAAATTCTAATATAACCAAAAACCACACTCACCCTGCCCCACCCACCTCCCCCAAACTAGAGGACACAGCCCCCACCCTCCTTTCCAAAACACATCCCCAAAGGCCCAAGGTCTGCCTTGTTGCCCTTGAACAGCAGCCAATCATCTTTGTCTCCTTTCAGCCTCTGACTGCCTGACTGCTCTCACTGTTGCTGAAGTACAATGCTCTAGCCTGCTGTTGCATTCCACCATGGCAAACTGGCTATGAAAGTTCCCCCAAGGTGGGCATAGAAGATTAGGCATCCCCCCTATACAGGGATCTGTGGAACCACAAGAGCTGTGGGAACCTCCAACACCAAAGTCTATTTAGGCCCCAACCCTCACTGGTTTGCCCTGCCCAATAACTCATGCAGCATGTCCTCAGATTACCAAGTCAGGGGTCTGAGAGTGTTCAGCTAAGGGGGGTGGGGAGAGGAAGGAGACAGAAACTGTCACGGCTGCAACAGCTTCTTAGGACTGGTAACCACTTGCCTGTGCCAGGAGCTCCTGTCTAGAATCCCTTGGGGTGGCTGAAAGACAGGGGAAGGGCCATACGATGTGGAGGAATTGACGGCCACACAGAAGAATGGACACATAACCAAGTTCCCCTTTCTGGTTATGCTGCCTGTGTTTATGGGGTGGGGGAAGAGCAACAGAATGTATCTAATAAATGAGGGGTTGGTGTGTATGAAAAAGCCAGGAAGATGAGCAGATTCTGTAATGTTTGCTTTATTGTTAAGTAATTTCCAAAACATCTATATTCTGATAATGTAAACAGTGCAGACGAAGAAGAAATGATGTAACCACAGAGACAGGCTGTTTGCTGTCATTCTTCTAACTTGCTCAGTCAAAAAGACTTCATAAGCTTTTAGCATTGCATGTGGTTTGATGTTACTTTCCCATCAAGTACAGTGGAACGTAACGTTCTATATTCATCGTCTAAATCTGTTTTCATAAAGGCAACTTTGTCCATGCTTCAGTCTAACCTTTATAATCAGGCTTTTGTTCCTTCTGGCCACCGAAGTGCACCATTAAAACAAAATGAAGAGTTTTCAGAAAAAAGGTTACATTTAACAGAACTTAAACTAGCTAGTGAGCAAAGGTTAAAGAATTAGTTTCTATTTAACCTAGTCTCTGGGGATAATAAAGAATGCTAAAATAGGGGAACTTCGCTGTATATAGAAAGACGGCCTAAAAATGTGCCCCTTTAAAATGTAACAGTAAATGATCTCCCAGCATAGAATGTAGTCGTAGCATCCCTGGGATGAACAAACTGAGACAATACGCTGCATCTTTGTGGCACCATTATTTTATGCTGTATTTTTATTAACCTCAGTGCTGAATACAGTTGGAATCCTCAACCACTTATGTTTTTCTTCTCCAAAGATTAAAGCAAAATTAAAAAAAGAAAAGTTACATAACTCAGACAGCTTGTCTCGTTAAAGGCTGTTGCCTAATCATAAATTAAAATCAAAAGCTCTTCCTACCCTTGTTATTCAGAAATACAACTTTAAACGAGCGTTCTACTTTTGGAACCCCTAATGTTTTTGCAAATGGGAATATGTTATTTATTTGATGTGTCTGAGAGAAGCATTCCTCTAGGATTAATAAAGTGAAACATCTAATCATCTTAGCCCACATGTTTTCCTGTGCAAAATCATGCAGAGGAGAATGTCATCAAAGAAAGTGACTTTTCTCATGAGACTATGACTGAGGCAAACAAGAGAGGAAACCAGGGACCTGTGAGAAAGCCAGTATATGGCTCACCAGTTTGATTATGGTGGGATTCTCCATCCATGTTTCCCTCCACCTCTACCCTATCAGCAATAAAGCCATCAGTGGACTTGTAGCTATCCTACTACCGACAACTCAGTTCACTGCTGTGCTTCATAGCCTCTCCCTGGGGTTAGGGCCACAGACTGCGCAGAAGGAGTTAAACACGTAACTAAGGCACATGTGTTTTGCAGGGGAACAAAACAGGGCAGGGCTAGGTTTTGCTACCTTTACTCCCACTTTACACTACAAGGAATCCCATTTTGGGACTACTTCCAGTGGAAAGTACTACTCCATGAAGATAAGGTGGCAGAATCTAGCCCTTTGCAGCTGTTCCAGAATTACCCCCTTTCTGGGGAATTACTACAGACAGCCATCTTCTCTGGCAATGCGGTAGTGAGGGCCCATGTTAGCAATATCATTCAGCAGGGAGGAGCCGAGTGTCAGCCTGACGTCACTGAACAAATGAATGATTTTTAAGTGCTCCCACAATCCATTCAAGTCCCCTTGCAGCCAGCTATCAAATCACTCGACTCAGTTTTCAATTACAACCACAATTAGTTTTTAGACAAATTCATTTTTGGAAGAATATCGGAAAGGATGACAGGCAAGAGGGTGGTATTTCCAGTGAAGGCAAATCACTTATCTTCTCCGCAGATCTGCACTCTTCAGATGCCTATGTCTGGTTGTAGATGGTCTGTTGCAAACAACAACTCAGGAATGTTAAGTGGTGTCAGGAGCATTGAGGAGAGCACAATTACCTGAAGACAGAAATAAAAAAATGCAATTCAGGAGACTAATCTTGTCTGCAATCAGAACAAGATCTCTAAACGTGTACTGTTCATTTACAGAACAGCAGAGGAATCATTGATGTCTTATGCTCACTGTGAGGTGGCAATACAGCTTGTCCAATGCTACCACCTGCTCAGCTAATCATTATAGCTGAACCCACCAGTGGGAGAACAGTGATTACTATCCCACTCCTAATGCATTTGTAGTGTGATTCATTCACCCCACACAGTTCCACTACTAGGGTAGCACAGTGATTTGTTATGACTCCCACTGTGTTACTTGTGAAAAATGAGTTGCTCAACCAGCAGTTTCCCTGGCCACAGCACTGAATTTTGTCAACAAGTGACTCAAAATTGCAGCTGTTTCTTCTTTGTTTACGCTGAGGTGAAAATTACAGAACGCATTGTCTGCCTGCTGTGGCTAGTCAATGAAATACAGTCAACTGTCAGAAACTTGCCACTTGAGACTAGGAGCCTGGTGTTCCAGCCAGCAGGATCACGGTTCAAGCACAGACACAGTTTGGATGATCTTTGTTACTCTTTTCATAAGAAGAAAATATGTCCCTAGTGAAAGGCAGCATCACCCATTACTAGAGCTGGTCAAAACAGGGCTTTGGAGCTGTGCTCCGGCTCCGCTCCAGCTGCAGACAAAAACCTGCAGCTCCACTGCTCCGGAGCTGCTCCGCGCTCCAGCTCCGGGCTCCGCTCCAAAGCCCTGGTTTTGATCAAATCTTTTTTCCATTGAAAAATACTGTTTTGTCAAAACCAAAAGTGTTCTGCAGAAATGTCTTGGTTCTGACACAATACTCATTGGGAAGATTTCTCAGGTCAAAGAGGGAATTTCTATTAAGGGACAGAGGTGTGGGCAACCCAGATTGAAGCCTGTTTTCTGCCTGATTCAGAGCAGGGACTTCAACCTGAATCCTCCCAAATCTCAGACAAACACCCGAACCACCAAGCTTTAGAGTCATCCTCTCTCTCTCTGGCTCAATGAATATTTAATTCTTTACACAGATCAATGCCAACATCCAGCATTGGAACACTTCAAAAACTAATATTTTTCACAGAGCAGAATTGTTGTTTTCATCCTTCAAGCAGCAGACCATTATAGATGGATTTTTGTACACAATATATATTTATATATGTTTTTTCTCCCCTGAGTCCCTAACTAGATTTTATTAGCTACTAAATTCTCAGTCCTGCAGCTCTAATGGAGTGTCGGGCTTTCCTACCATTAGAGCCAACTACTGAGTATAACAAGCACTACTCACAGCAGTGTTTGTAAGATCAGGCCTACAGATTAAGAACAGGACAAACTGGAGGAGCATTGTACCAGACTTAAAAATGAATTTGCTTTCTCAATGTAAGATTAAGGGTATCTAATTTAGAAAAATCCAAAATGAGGAGGCATAAATTATGGCAACTGTAATTTAAATGCCAACAACTTTGAGTGTACATGTACCTATTTTCTTTTAGTAACTGATCAAATTGTGCACACTCTTCATCTGAGGTAAAAATCAACACGCATGAATATGTTGTTATCTGAATATTCAAACATTGCAGGTGATTTTAAAAAAAAGATATTAAATACCAAATACCCCAGATCTCAGTAGTACTACACTTAAGCCTCCCCGTTCCACATTCTTTTCTTTTCTTTCATCCTCTCTTTAAATAATGAAAAGAATCTGGAGTTAAATTACTACACTTTCTTTTGTGCTAACAACCTCGTGTGCTTTCCCACACAAACTACAGCGAAATGACACAGATTATCTCTTCTATTTCCCATTGCTTAAGACCATCTCTGTAATTTGCTGGTGACAAAGACTGCACTTTCCTATTTACGTTGTGGAGGAATCAGAGTACAGTACAGTCTGTGCACTCCTCTTCCTATGTACTCAGCTTAATTCTAAGAAATATGAGGTGACATATTACTAATGTTTTGTGTCTATGAATCTACAGGCCAAACCACCACCACTCACAGCTAAAAGCAATTTCATCTTCATAGTATTATCACTAAACTAACAGGGTAGATGTGCAATTGATAAAATGAGTCCACACAAACAAATGAGTGATGATTGTAACTTATTCTGATGTTAAGACACAGTCTTGCTGTCTCCCATCCATGCACATGGATATCAATAGTGGTTTCAGATGTGGATGGAGGAGAGCATATGGCCCTCTGTTTCTATGGAAAGCAGATGATCCAATCTTTTGTACAATTGCCCATAAATGTCCAAGCAAGTCTCTTTAGGAGGATAAATTTCCTTTGCAGATCCTCACCCATCTTAACATTTGTGTCCTTGTCTGTGACACTTTAATTGAGGGCTACATTTTGTCATGACAGCCACCTTAGAGTGGCCAGAGGGTCACTCCATGATCCACTACACTGTAATGAGTAGCACCAGGGTAAACAAAGAGAAGGTGAGGAAAAGGTTTGTGTAAAAAAGAAGGAATTGTGAAACAGAAACTAATTTGGGAAATTAATCATCCCACAATGCAAATATCCCATGAGATGGTAGCTGGTAATCTTGGATATCACCAGATATCTGGCTCGCAAGGAGGCACAGGAGGCTGAATGCACATGCTGTGAAGTTTCAGACTACACGGCTCAGACAATATGATGCAAGCAGCAATGCTAATGACAATGCAGTAACACTGGGCAACACTGGTAATCCCCTGAGCAAAACTTCCTTTGACTTCAGTGGGGCCAGGATTTCACCCAATATTTCAGAGCAGCTAAAGAACACAAACCAATCACACCCAAATGATAATCATGGTTGCCAGGGGTGATAATTACACTTCATAAATAACCATGCTCTTCTATAGCATTTGATATAAAGCATGTTTGAGACCTCACAGAAATAATCTGGGCCAGCAGAAGTAAATTATTGAAACTGAATCTGTATAAACTGGGCATGTCTTTATATTTCTGTTCTCATCTGTGTCATTGTTGCATCAGCATACAGTGGGAATACAGTAAACAAGGTGCAGGACACATGGATTGTCACATGTCACCATGCTCTGCTGTAGAGCAGATCTCTGGAGTCTGTGTGCATGTGAACACAAACCAATATTGGTACGTGTTCAAACATTGGTGGAAGTTAGTGATGTGACACAGGGAAGGGATTAAAACATCCACTTTTTCCTCTTTCCTCCTATTTAGTGTCTTATTTTTTTTAAAGTCATTCTCCTCTCTTGCTAGTTCAGTTGTTTCTGCCTCTTCCCAAGTTAGATGCCTCTAGGGGTACCAATTCATTACACCTATGAGGTGGTATCTGCGAAGAAGCAGTAGGCAGAGCTATTCAGCTTCATCTGAAAACAAATGATGCCTGAAACACACTGTTCTCTTTTGTGTCTCACAATGAGAAGAGATGAACCAAATGTCCCCTATCCACACTAAAATATATATTTGCTTATGTGGATAAAAACATATGTTTCCAATCTCCAGACTTAATTCTCATTTGCCTAAACTCCAAACAACTGCTGACGCAATTGGTAGGGAAACTGATCTGCTGACAGGTTTTCTGTTGTTGTTTTATAAATTTCTTTACTTTCACATCTACAGTGCAACTCCAGTTTAAAAGAAGTGCCAATAATTAGTGCAAATGTCAGTGTTTTGTTTAAGTGCAACGGAACAGGGAGGCCAATGTTTTCATCTTGCCCTGATGTCTGAAACTGATCGTCTGAACATCACAAAACCAGCTCTGTTAAACACTGGCTTGTGGTAGATGAATGCCTGGCTCTTTGAAAAGAGAATAATCCCAAACAGGTGGCACATATTCACAGCTGAACTCTAGAAATCCAGGTAAATCCAACTAACTCAGACACTTTTATATGCGAGACTCGAACAACCAATTCTTTTCTTCCTTTTACCCCCCTCAGGACTCTCCCCTAAAGCCCTTTAGCCCCTAATGTAACAATTTCATACAAAGGCAAGGGGCAGTAAAAGCTGCGTCAACTCTAAATTCTTTGGGACTCTGCCTCAAAGGGTGACCTGCCACCAGGGTCAACCAAAGCAAAGCAGCACCAGATTCCATGTCACCACTGTCAAACCTCAATCCCTTTTAGAAAGTTAGCCAAAAGAATTCCTGCATAGTTTTACACCATCTCCCTCATTAACTCCGTGCTTATCTTTCAAGCTATATTAAAACATTTAGAGTCTGGATTAACTTGTCCATCAGTACATCACAATTCAGTCCCTGTTCTGGATAGCAAAGAATTTGACTCACTGTGTTAAGGAGATAAGTGAGAAGCTAATTGGAGAGAAACATGTTATCAGATGAAAAAGTGCTCTTGGAAAGGGCATTTTATCTTATAAAAATATTGAGTTCTCAACTCAAAGATGCTGTTAAAGTGCAGAAAACATGCTATCAATCAGAGGCTGCTCTGCCTTGGTTGGCTCCATTTTGCTACAGACTTTTCATTAGTTAGAGCTGTATTCGCAGGAATTAAAACAAGAGAGTTTACATTCAGCCTTTGGAACAAGACATGTTTAATGACACAGGCAGCTGGTTATGAAGTGTTTCTTTGCATCTCTCTTGCAGCTATAAAGATCACCTTCTGTGCCTGCTCCACCCAGGAGAAATCCAGCTGCTCCCATACACCTTCTTCCAAATGAACAATTATCAATATCTTAGACCCTGCCAGAAGTAACCCTTGCCCTCCCCACTCCATTGGAATGACAGTGAATGCAGCCAGGAACTGCTGCCAGAGAATGAACAGGGCAGGGACCAGTCAGATGGACTTTTTGTCCCCGCTCCCAAGAAACCCCACCACACAGAGCTACCCCCCCTCTCAGAGGCAGACAGTGTGCCCTGGAGCAGCAGCCCTTCAAGTGTTTGCCAATAATATTCTCTTCCCCTTAACTGACTGAGCCCAAAGTTATTTTGGAGGTTGGGCAGGGTCAATGAATGGCACCTTAGTGCCAGGGGCATGTGGACAGAAGAGAAGGGATGGGACAGGGGAGGAGGTTGGTTTGGAGAGACAAACCTGGAGGGAATGTAAGTACTATTTGACAGGTTGCCTGTGTGGTTGTTTATAAACTTTGTCTGTCTTGTTTATTCAGCTGTAAACTCTTTGAGATGGGCATCTTTTACTCTGAGGGATAGGATGGCAGCCAGGTTGTCAACTTGAGCATAGCACACTGAACTGTAGGTGGGAGGGGGGACATTTTAACCTAGGAGGTTGGAGCAAACTCTTACAGAAAACGTCCAGGGATCTGAGGTCCATACAAGCAGCTAGGATCTTGATTTTTTAAGGTCTCATCCTGACTCTCACTCAGTAACAGAAAATAAATAATTTATCCAGTACAGAAGGATGAAAGGCTAAGACAGCCCTGCAAGAATTTAACCCTGTTGCTCTAGGGAGTCACAGTAACTCAGACCTGACTGTGAGAAGGTGGCCCTGCTTGGGGCACCCTCCCGCGGCAGGTCATGGCATGACAAGTGTGTCTGCCTCAGTTTTCCATGAGAATGCACCCAGATTAAGGCATGTTGTCTCTCTCAGCAACAAACTCAAACCCCTTTATTCACATAAAGTGCCACAGTCCCCTCGTCGTAGAGATAGTTGTTCTCAAAACCTCAAAGTAAAACAAGGTTACAATACAGCAGCTCTTCAATCCCTGGGTCACCGCTCCCAGGTCACCCACCAGAGAGTCATTAACCACTCTGCCCCAGTCCTTTTAGCCCATTACAGGGCGCTCCATTCTCCAGATCTTCTACCCGATAGTTCCTAGACCCGCTTCTCTACCACGAGTTTTCTCCTGTAGCCCTAAGTCAGGTCTCCCATGACAGAATTCTGCTCAGTGTTCCATTCAGCCAGGCGTCCCTGCCTGACAGTCCTACCTCTGCTCAGGGCATGTCCCTCCAGGACCAACCCCTTGTTCTGGGATCAGCTTCCTGCAGCCTCCCAGGCTCACTGTTAGAGGACTTCCCACAGTGTTCCATTCAGCCAGACTCTGCCTATGAGTCCTGCCTAGGGTGACCAGATGTCCCGATTTTATAGCAACAGGCCTGATATTCAGGGTTTTTTCTTATATAGGTGCCTATTACCCCCCACACTCTGTCCCGATTTTTCATACTTGCTGTCTGGGCACCCTAGTCCTGCCCCTGCTCCTGGGATCTACACTCCAGGATCAACGCTCTCCTTTTGGGCTTACTTTCCCCTAACCTTCCCTTCTTCCTAGGGGCTTCTGCACAAGTTCTCCTCTAACTCATCAGGGGTTCCCCAGCTTTGGCCAGTCCTCACCAACAACCTTTTGCTCTACCTCATGGCTCTCTGTAACAGCTCGCTGCTGTTGCTGCCGCCCCTACCAGGAACTCTCCTTTCCTCCTCAGGCAGCTCTCATCTGCTCTTCTCTGCCTGTCTCCGACAGCTCTGCCTCACTAAGTCTCTCTCCCATAGGGCCCAGGTGCTCTCTTTTAAGCCCAGTTAGGAGGCAGCTGAGCAGTTACAGGTGCACTGGCCTTTTCCCTTTTAAAGGGCCACCATCACCCTGTGACATTGACACGTAAGTCTCTAACACCATCCCCTTTCCACCTCGGAGGCCCCTAATCCGAGCCATTTCCTTTCTGGCTGAGGAGAACTGAACATTTTGGACAGTCATTTCTGTTCCGCTTAGTGGCATCGCTGCTTGCAGTTCAATTTATGTATGCAGATTCCCAAGCAAATGCTCATTCACAGAAAACTGCATGTGCAAATTCTGAGGTTCTATGGAATGATCTGGGCCTCACTGAATCTACTGCACACAACAAACTTTAAATAACTTGCATCTGAAAGCTGCTTGCCTGCAGATGTTTCACAACAGAGACCTGACACCATTATTAGCCTTATTTATATGTTATGGTACATGTTCAATACCAGGGCAGTATTCAGCACTATAAAAAGCATTTTCTTTGTTACTCTTAATTTGTCCTGGCTCAGACAGAAATCACAGTACTTAAGGTTTCGTACCTGGATACCGGGTTTGTGTGCTGATATTAGGTCCCTCACCATTCTGACCTCAGAGACTGTCACTCCACCAACCATATAGAAGATCAGGAGAGGATGATCACTGGGGTGAGGACGACTCACCTATAAAACAATAGAAAGCATTATTTACATTGCTTCAATTTATTCTGAAACACAAGTACTCTTGACTACAAAGCCACACGGGGCATACGATCCATAACATAATGCAATGGCTATTTATGACTGGTCAAGACAGAGTATTGAAGGATTAAGAGGAAACTCAGAAATGATTTTTTAAAATGCTGGTTTCTATGGAAGTTGGATAGAAAATTAAAGAGATGCTGGCAGGTTAAAAATCATTGGAATGATATTCAGGTGTGGCATATTCACAGGTCCCATTGAGGTCAAAGGGAGTTGTGCTCAGCAGATCTGAGAATCAGGCCAATGATTTTCAATGAATTAAGTGTGTTTACATATATTACCATATACAGGAAAAGCATTGTTATCCAGCATATTGGGGGAATGGGGGTTCTGGTTAGTCAAAAATTCGAGTTCACTAAAGAGTTATACTTATCAATGGAGAGAAGGAGTTTGGGTGTGGGAAGGGGCTTAAGGCTGGGGCTTGGGGCGCGGGAGGGGGTGTGGGCTCTGGGAGGGAGTTTGGGTGTGGGAGGGGACTCGGGGCAGGGGGTTGGGACATGGGAGGGGTTTTGGGGTGCCAGATCTGGGAGACGCTCACCTCGGGCAGCTCCCCGCAAGCGGCAACATGTCCTTGCTGCTCCTAGGTAGAGGCGCGGCCAGGCAGCTCTGCGCACTGCCTCTGTCCGCAGGCGCTGCCCCCACAGCTCCCATTGGCTGCGGTTCTAGGCCAATGGGAGCTGCAGAGCCAGTGGTCGGGGTGGGGCGGGGGCAGTGCACAGAGCCCCCGTGGCCTTTCCTCCGCCTAGGAGAAGCAGGGACATGTCACCACTTGCGGGGAGCTGCCTGAGGTGAGCACTGCCTGGATCAGAAATCAGAGATATCAGAAATGCCATTTTATAGAGCTTTCTAGTTGGCAAACATAAGAACGGCCATAGTGGGTCAGACCAAAGATCCATCTAGCCCAGTATCCTGTGTTCCGACAGTGGCCAACGCCAGGTGCCCCAGAGGGAATGAACAGGTAATCATCTAGTGATTCATTTCCTGTCACTCATTCCCAGCTTCTCACAAACAGAGGCTAGGGACACCATCCCTGCCCATCCTGGCTAATAGCCATTGATGGACCTATCTTCCATGAATTTATCTAGTTCTTTTTTGAACTCTGTTATAGTCTTGGCCTTCACAACATCCTCTGGAAAAGAGTTCCAGAGGCTGACTGTGTGTTGTGTGAAGAAATACTTCCTTTTGTTTGTTTTAAACCTGCTGCCTATTAATTTCATTTGGTGACCCCTAGTTCTTGTGTTATGAGAAGGAGTAAATAACACTTCCTTATTTACTTTCTCCACACCAGTCATGATTTTATAGACCTCGAGCATATCCCCCCTTCATCATCTCTTTTCCAAGCTGAAAAGTCTCAGTTTTATTAATCTCTCCTCCTACAGAAGCCATTCCATACCTCTAATAATTTCTGTTGCCCTTTTCTGAACCTTTTCCAATAACCAATATAAAGTGCCAGATAACACAGCTTTTACTATTTGTGAAATCTGAATTACAAACGTCTAATGTGCTTTGTAGACTAACTACTCTTTGCAATTCATCCAACGTAACTAGATTAGTCAGGTCTACTTTAATTTCAAATCAGTCTCTAGACAGTTTCATGTTGGTGCTCTCCTGCAGTAGAACAATGCTGCAATGTTTGGGTTGCAACCTCTGTATGGGATGTTTAAGACCAAACAAAATACTGTTTTCATTTAAAAAAATAAATAAATAAAACAATGCAAATATTCATCGTCATTTTCATTGTTTTCATTTAACAAATTCTACTGGCTCAATTAACTTGCTTATTTTGCTGTTTTCTAGAGTTATGTATTGATAGGACAGTTCCATTGATATTGTCCTGGGTCAGACTCACCAGATCCTTTGGACCAGCGGCGACTCCAGGCACCAGTGTACCAAGCATGTGCCTGGGGCGGCAAGCCGCGGAGGGGCGGCCTGCCGTTCGCTCCAAGGGTGGCAGTCAAGGGCGGCATGCCTGTGGGAGGTCCGCCGGTCCCGCGGCTTTGGCAACAATTCGGAGGCGGGACCGGCGGACCTCCCGCAGGCATCCCGCCGAATCCGCGGGACCGGTGGACTGCCCGCAGGCATGCCGCCGAAGGCTGCCTGACTGCCGTGCTTGGGGAAGCAAAAAAGCGAGAGCCACCCCTGCTTTGGACATGATGCCAGTGGAACCATCACAATCCCTCTTGTTATAACACCACATCCCTATGCATGAGGCTCAAAACGTTTGGCTCTGAGGACTGAGAACAGCTTAATTGGTTCTTTTCGTTATTGTTTTTGCCAGCATCATTCTATAAAATGAAAGTAGCAATCTATGTTTGGGTGGAGCATGGTTCCATTTCCTTTTACCACCCACGGCATCTCTCTTTGATCCTGGTGGCTCCAGCTCCCCGGAGTACAGCTCCTCCTCTGTTCTTTATTGTGCCTGTCCTATATTTAGTCCTTGGGCAGTTTCTTGGCCAGCAGTCCAATTCATGATTTCCCTTCTGGAGCTGACTGGCAGTCTTTGGAAGAGGAGGTTCCCTCTGTGGCTTTTCCCTTCGAAACCAGCAGGAGGTTTCCAAGCTTTCCAAGCAAACTGCCTTTGATAAAGCAGTGGTCTTGATCAAGTGCTGCTACCAGGTGCAGAGCTCTTGGGCTGGCTCTTCAGGAGTTTAAAATTAGGGCAGATAATTTACATACAGCCAGTGCCTGAACACTGTGTGTATGTATGTTGTTTGCAATCCTAGCCTTCCCTCATTCATCTTTATTCTGCTGGCAGCAGGAACAAGTATGGTTATCACATAGTCCTGCATACCCCCAATTCAAGAACTGCATGCAGCTCCTTTCCAATGAAATCCACAAACCACCATTAAGTCAATATAACTCATTTTCAACCTGTACACAGGCTTTCCCTAATTTCCCAATGCTGAACAATGGCTGCATAAAATGTATTGTTATCTTAATTAAAATACCAAATCCATTCTTATTACAAATACTGTGAGGAGTTCAAGTAAGGTCTAAACAGTCCAGTAAAAAGTAGGCCAGGTAGGATTATAAAATAGCTTAGGTGCTGGAGTATTACAGGGAGTTTACAGCAAACTGCATGGGCAACTGCCACAACACTGAAGAACAAACTGTTCACAAAGATGGTAAACATGAATGTTGGCCAAAATGCTTGTGCTAGGGTACTCCTATGCAGGATAAGAACTATTAGCTTTAAGATGTCAGTCCAAAGGCTAGCTGTGAACAAACTGTACATGGCTGCTTCCCAATTCCTAGTGTTATTTTAGTTGCCACACAGAACAAAGGTGGTGATCAAAGAGTTAGATTTGAAGAATTTAAAATTTAGATATTCACATCAGAATGTCCTCCTTAAGAACTTTATCATGGGACTAAGAAACTCATTGTAAACATGTACGTATAAATCTGGAAACTTATTATAAGGTTACCTAACGTAACCTTTCATGGATATAGAAAGGGAGAAAATATTTGATAAATCATTTCCATCCGTCAAAATAAGCCTCTATCCAAACACATGGTTCATATATAAAATGTATTATTTTTCAGAAAACTGAAATTCAAACCACAAATTCCAGAAATGCATATTAAAAAATACCAACTATTAGGCATGCAAGCTCTAAATTAAATTAAAGTTGCCATGAAAAGGGTTTGGAACCTGTAATTTTATTATGCTATGCACAAGTGTTTTGGAGGAGGACAATACTTTGGGTACAAAATATTTGGCTTGTTAAGAATGTGGGTTTCTGCCAACATATTTCCATTTGATAATACAACCACCCAAGGCTCTCTCTTTTGAAGAGGCTAGCTCCATGTGGCTAAACACAACTCTACTCTGTGTTACAGAAGAAGAATAAAAATGAACTGTAACAAAAAGCAACACACATTCTGTCATGCTTCTACAAACTATGCCTAGTTAAAACTGGAGTTTTTTTTCCTTTCCCAAAATAGCACACACTTTTCACCAGTTTGTTTCACAAGGTTTTCAAGTGCTCAAAATCTCATTTTTAATATGAATTGTCAGTGATCCCAAAATGTTTTGCAAATCACCTATAGAAATTCACTTCAAAACATCTTGATTTAGAAATTTTGCCCCCGTCTAAAAATCATTAGAAATTACCATGGCAACCGACTTTGGTAATTTAGATTGGTGGAGAGAAGACAGGAGAAGACAAGGTAATGCACAGAAAGTCTCCTCTCAGAGGCACATGCAGAGATGCGTATTTAGTGAGATAGTGACAGAAGTGGCGAGGGACACATGCACTTTGGCTCCACCTCCAGAAGTAGCACAGGAATACATACCAGGCCCAGGTCTTGCAAATATCATGGACAAGACGTATAACTTTACATCACAAGTTTGGGCAGATAAAGTATGAGAAGTGAGATTGACACTGCAAGCATGATGGTTATGGTTGCTGGCATTACTGATATAGCATGGCAGCAGAGAAGCCAGCCTATGTGCCACCAGGATTCTATAGTGTACCCAATACTCCTAAGATTAGTATACTATAACTACGAGGAGAATAAAATAAACATGAAAATCCCAGCATTAATGTAACCAAATCACAGGTAAAGATGCAGGGTGAATCAACTTCACTGAAGCCAGACTACATATACAAGCATATTGTAAAACTACATCAATATAGCCAAGCTATCAAATAAATCTAGTGAAGGAGGAATCTTGGAGTTTGGATACTTATCTGAACCTAGCTGGTCATGAGGACCTTTGTCCCTACAATTGCCAGTACTAGTATTTTCTCCTAGGGACTTTAGTGGTTGGTGTGCTTTCCCGTTGGTGTGTTTTGGGGATCATCAGGAAAGGCCAATGCCCCTTGACAACACTGTATGGACCACATGAAATGGGGAGGCAAAGCAGGTTCCCAACTCCAGCAGGGAGTGGCTCAGTTGACAGGTTTGTTTTTACTAAT